TAGTAGTAGTAGTAGTAGTAGTAGTAGTAGTAGTAGTAGTAGTAGTAGTAGTAGTAGTAGTAGTAGTAGTAATAGTAGTAGTAGTGGTAGTAGTGGTAGTAGTAGTAGTAGTAGTAGTAGTAGTAGTAGTAGTAGTAGTAGTAGTGGTAGTAGTAGTAGCAGTAGTAGTAGTAGTAATAGTAGTAGTAGTAGTAGTAGTAGTAGTAGTAGTAGTAGTAGTGGTAGTAGTAGTAGTAGTAGTAGTGGTAGTAGTAGTAGTAGTAGTAGTAGTAGTAGTAGTAGTAGTAGTAGTAGTAGTAGTAGTAGTAGTAGTAGTAGTAGTAGTAGTAGTAGTAGTAGTAGTAGTAGTAGTAGTAGTAGCAGTAGTAGTAGTAGTAGTAGTAGTAGTAGTAGTAGTAGTAGTAGTAGTAGTAGTAGTAGTAGTAGTAGTACACAACAGCGCTCAGTGGTGGTCTTCGGAGCTATCACGCCTGAGGCGAGATTGCTCTAGAAAGCAGGCTGCTCTATGCAAAGCTCGGCGCCAAGGTGAGCTCAGCATCGAGGCTCTCGCCGAAGCATCAAGGATAGCTAGGAGACGCTACACTCATGCAATCAAGAAAGCCAAAAGTAAGAGCTTCAGGGACTGGGTTAGCCGCCTTGGGGACAGTCGGGCCTTGAAGTCCCTTATGGAGGAGGCGCCCATCGACGTCGAATCGGTCGACGCCGAAGAGGCAGCATCCGCATTTTTCGGAGACACCGTCTCGCCCAGGGTATACATTCCCAGTACTCGGGTCTCTCTCGAAGATATGGGAGGACCGATCACCCGAGAGGAGCTTGAAAGTGCTATAGCTGCTCGCCCTAAAGGCCGAGCACCTGGATCTGATGACGTCGCATACGAGCACATCTCCGTAGCCTGGAAATGTAACGGCCGTTGGGCTGCCGCTCTGCGCACGCTCATAACAGCGATCCTCCAGTTCCAATATTTCCCAAGGTGCTTTCAAGGCGCCGAGGTTACCCTTCTGAGGAAGAAAGGCAACCGGACGGGTTGGTCCAAGTTTAGACCCGTATCGCTCTCGCTGACACTTGCAAAAGTATGTGAGGCCGTGATAAGCGAACGGCTAGAGCGCTCCATAGGCGCCCTCCCTCCCTTCGTGCACGGATTCACCTCCAACAGGTCAACCGACACAGCATGGAAACATCTTTCGAGTGCCCTAGAGAGTGAACCTAAGAACAAAGGACTAAGGGCCGTCGCGGCGTTCGATGCAGTGGCGGCGTTCAACTCCATTAGCCACGAATCTATTTGTGCAGCCGTCGGCCATTTAGCCAACAATGGCTTTGCGGAACTGGTGCGCTCGTTCCTCAGTGGACAATGGTCGAGTTTAGGGGGAGTCCGGCGATACTCCACCAAGGGGATCCAACAAGGATCTATTCTGTCGCCGAGGCTGTATAGCTACGCCACTATCGAACTAGGAGAAAAACTGCTGGCTCTGAATGACCCGCACCACGGGATAACCATCAAACCAGTAATATACGCTGACGACTCGGCAATAGTTCTGAAGGCCCCTGGCCTTCTCAGCCTTGTGAACACGGTCATACGTGTATGGGAAGTGACGGATACCTGGGCTCGATCTGTAGACTTAACCCTCTCGGAAGAGAAAAATGAGATATGGGTTGACGGCTGGGCGGACGAAGTTCAGTCAGGCCTGCGCGACAGGGGACACGCCGCGCTGGCAGGGTCGGTCAAGAAGTGTATCAAGTTTTTAGGACTATGGCTTGATCAGAAGCTGAGCTGGAGCACCCACGTTACTGAAAGCATAGCCCGTATACGCAAGCTGGCCATTAGGCTGCGCTCTCTCGTGGGACGTCGCTGGGGTCTTGGCTCGCAGCAACTCCATTGGATTTGGAACTCTGTGATGACTCCTCGTTTAACGTTCGGCGCTCCTACATGGGGCACCGTCGCGGGGAGAGAATGGTTCGAGAAAAAATGCATACAGCTCCAGGCTTTCATGGGCCGACTGATGTGGGGTGCGCTGAAAAGCGCACCGACATCAGTAGTGTACCGAGTCAGCGGGTTAAAACCGATCTCTCAGTCTGTTCGCGTACGCGCTTCCAAGCAATGGCTCCACAGAGACTGGGACATTAGTGAGGCAGAGACCAGGGCCCTTGGCCGCTGGGGAGCGTTGGGCACGGAAGTACGGAACCCAGAGGACATGAATCTCGACGTTTCATATCCAGCGAGCATTGCGAGTGACCACAGGGCGGTCGCAGTCATAAATGATGGTCAAATAGATCGCCTCTCTTCTGCTAAGAGGCACATATTCTGCGATGGTAGCAGAATCGGAGGGTCGGGTCTGACGGGACGTATCGGATCGGGTGTTGTCGAGCTGGCGCCGTCCAACAAAGACGCTGCTGTAGTATGGTTCTCGTATACGAGGTTACCAGATTACGCCACCGTGATGCAAGGCGAGCTTGGAGGGATCGAAGCTGCGGCCAATCGGCTGACTTCTACTCGGATAAATCCCTTAAAGCAGGCAGTTATTTACAGTGATAGTCAGGCCGCCATCCGGGCAGTGGTTGGCCGAGGTAAGCTCGAGAGTACATCAGTGAGGAACGCCCGCAGGGCGGTTGAACGTGCTGCTGTGTCATGCGATCTAGTAATTCAGTGGACAAGAGCTCATGCGGGTATCAGTGGTAATGAAATCGCGGACACCCTGGCGAGATTAGGCGGAAAGAGAAAGGATATAACAAACGTTGGCATTCCTGAGTCGTACACTGTCCATCAGGTCAAAGCGAAATTCAGAGAAGAAGAAGAATGGCGATGGCGCAAAGATCGTCAGCTGACACACATAAAGAAGACAGGCGTGATGCTCGACCGCAGCCAATGCAGTCGCCTTCGCACGGTGGCTGTGTCAATGAATGATCGCAGGCTTATCTCCGAAGCCTTGACGGGACATGGCTGTCTGAGGGCCCATGTATCCCGATGGGACGGTGGGATGCCGGAGTGTCGCTATTGTGGCATGAGCAGGGAGACTTCTATACACCTACATCAGTGTTCTCGCTGGCGGAGGTGGAGAGAGACCTGTCTGGGTAAAGAAGCCCTGGACAACCCTTATGATATGACTCGACTGTTGGCATCAAACCGCAGTGTTCGCAAATGGTTGAAGTACATGAGAAAGATCTGGCCGACATCCCGCTAGGGATATCAAGATATAAAATATTCTACTGCTGGCAGCTGGGGGTCTCTGGGGGGCCCTCCTATTTATCGATTTTCTGCCGTGTAACACACTATCTACCGGTTCATACCAGGGCTCAGACAGTGACTGAGCCTGCAGCTATACCTCTATACTGGCTATTACTCGCCTGGTCGAAGGGGTGCTGCGCAAGAAGAAGAAGAAGAAGTGGTAGTAGTGGTAGTAGTGGTAGTAGTAGTAGTAGTAGTAGTAGTAGTAGTAGTGGTAGTAGTAGCAGTAGTAGTAGTAGTAATAGTAGTAGTAGTAGTGGTAGTAGTAGTAGTAGTAGTAGTAGTAGTAGTAGTAGTAGTAGTAGTAGTAGTAGTAGTAGTAGTAGTAGTAGTAGTAGTAGTAGTAGTAGTAGTAGTAGTAGTAGTAGTAGTAGTAGTAGTAGTAGTAGTAGTAGTAGTAGTAGCAGTAGTAGTAGTAGTAGTAGTAGTAGTAGTAGTAGTAGTAGTAGCAGTAGTAGTAGTAGTAGTAGTAGTAGTAGTAGTAGTAGTATTGTTTTAGAGCGTCGTGAATCTGGAAAGGAGTGGTATGGCTTCGGCCGATACTGAGGGGCTCTTGCTGAAAATGGAGGAGCAAACGGCGAATCTGGCGGAGGACACCGAAAGATTTTTGGAAGAGTAGAAAAATTTTTCGGTAGTTTTTTTTCATTTTCCCGCAGCAGATACGCCCGAGTGTGCCTAAATGAGGAGCGCGAGAGGATGATCAGTAACGATCTGTATGGTCATTTAATCCGAGCCGAGGAGCGTCGAAGGGACCTTCAGCGTGTGGCTGGGGTCGATGTGAATAGGGAGGAGGTCGGACAGGTGAGAGTATTGGAGTTTCACCCGTTTTACGTGAAGTGGTGAGAAACGCGATATTCGCGGTGATATGTATTTCATATCACTAGGGTGAAACTCCATTTTTCAGTTTATTGTTATTATAGTAGTAGTCGGTGTTGGAAGAATATATGTTTGCTTTCCTCAGCTGTTCTCTGATGGGTAGATGTGTTCAGAAACTCACAAAAATTTTTTCAGAATTTCATTCTGCCGTCGACACATGTAGTTGACCATGTGTATATTCCCCCACACTGCTAGTGGTGGTCTTCAAAGAGATCGTATGTGTTTCAATGGTTTAGATCGTCGAGCGCAGTGAAGTGGAGTTATATAGCTCTCGAGAGGAGGTGGAAGGACAGCCGCAGGATGTTGTGATTCTCCAGGTAGGAGCTCGGGCGTATGCAGAAAGGCCTGGGAGATTTCAGAGGTTCAAATGTCGGAAATAAAAACTGGTCAAGGCTTCGCTCACTTCCACAGTGAAGAATCGGACATTATAGACTCCTTCTTGTAGTAGGAGTGCATGCGATGTAAAAAAGAGGCACAGCGTGTCAGCTCTAACTTCTCTGCAGAGTTCCGATACACATTGGAACGGGTTTAGCTGCTCGGAAGCGACCGACTTGATAAGAATATAAAATTCAAAGGCCTTCACGGTCGTTGTAGGAGAGAGTAAAGGAGTAAAAACAAGTATGAATACAATTGTTCGGAATAGGGAATCGCTACTCAGCTTAGCTTCAGCTCATCGATATCTTGTCGTCACGACACAGCGCACAATCCTATATCATTCTCTCACAGCCTAGCCCTCCTGGATAGCCATCGTTTTAACATTGATATCAAGCGGTTGCTATATGCAGTTCCTCGGCAGAGACCGAGAGGTCAGCTACAAGGTCTATTGCTGATCATTTCCAATTCACAAAGGCTAGGACTCAGCGAAAGGGAGATCATTCGAACAACAATCAACAGTGGGAGAGTCGTTCTTGGAGAACTGTCCTTTGCTGTGTGGAGGAGAATCGTTGATGTTGAAAACGAATACGTTGGTATCATTTTGAGCTGCAACGCAATGCAGTTTGCTGGCTCATTTAGAGTTCCCTACAGAGAGACAAGATGCTATTTGTTGCACTCTTTATCGAGTTGAAATCGTAGACATTTTACGCGAGGCTCTCGTTCGGAGCTGAAGTTGGTCAGTGAGCAATCACTCAGCTTTTTGTGGGCTCACGTGAGTGCATTGTGAATTCATTAGACTTTTCTCAGAGTCAGGCCAGGCTCAGCGGGGTGGCCGACAGCATTGACTTCGGTAGTGATCAGATGAGGGCTCTCACTGAGTATGTGGAAAGGATGTCTGCTGAGTGAGCTCGATGTCCTGCGGGAATTGCAGGATCCTATCGGCTTGATCGGGCAGATACGCCCGAGTGTGTATAGATGAGGAGCGCGAGAAGATGATCAGTAACGACCTGTATGCTCATTTAGTACGAGTCGAGGAGCGTCGAAAGGACCTTCAGCGTGTGGCTGGGGACGTTGCTGCTAAGACTGATGTGGTGCTGATGAGGGAAGGATGGAACAGGGAGAGGAGGGAGATGATGCGAGAGGATCGCGAGGGCCATTTGGAGGCACTCGTGGAGGCTCTAGTAGATCTCCAGGCTTCTCGAGAGATCAAAGCAGTTGAACATTCCACCACTAGATTGCTGAGTGTTGGAGTGCAGACTATGCGAGTGGCGCGATGGAACTCAGTTGTGCAAGCGTCCCCCCGAGTCGCTGAGGTTGGCGTTCAGAGTCGTATTGAGATGTCTACGGTGGAGTCCCAAACTAATGGCGTGGGGAAGAGGAATAGGAGCATCTCGAGATTGACGCAGACTGCTGCTGCTGATTCTAATGATGATGATCGAGCGATGCTTCATCCGGTTGATGCCGAACATAAGGCAGCTATACGGGAAGAGGCGATAAGGGAGATCAAGGCACATATGGAGGAGCAAGTGAGGATCACCAGATGCAACGGTCAGGTGAGAATACTGCTGTATATCGCTGCTCATCAGGGTCTTTCGGCAGGTTCGACTGCGTGCTCGAGAGGAATCATATCGAGCTGAAGTAGAGAGGCTAGGCCGAGAACATCAACGGGCCACGGCGGAGCTCGAACGTCGTCATGCTGAGGATCTACGAGTGCAGCGTCTACGGTTGGAAAGGCAGTGGCAAGTGAGACGATCGATGGCGGAGATGTCGAAGAAAAAGGAGACTCGGGAGGCAGCTGTGGTACCTCAGCCATTGAGGATAGATGAGGACATGCTTGTAACACCGCGAGATGAGGTCAGTCCTTCAATTCTATCTGTTGGTAGAGAGACACAGCTCTTACGATGTATTTTTTTTAGATTCGTTCGTCTTCATCATTCAACATGCATCAAGTGTTCGATGAGCGCCCAAGTCCAAATGCTATCCGCCGAGCAAGTGCCGCTCGAGTGGTCGAATCGGTCAGGAGTGGCAGAAGAAGAGTGATCGAGAGAACGCTCAGGCCTAAATAATTAGTATTGAAAAGTATATAAGTTGCTCTCATGCTACTGCCCTATTGTTTACTATTTCATAAGAGCTTCATTGAAGTGGTGTTGATTTATGTAGTTCTCAGTGATGAAAGCGAGACGCTCGTTAGAAGGAGACAAGGTTGTGGCGTCTTGGTTGTGACTACTGACATGCATGAATAGTCTGCTGGAACGCGCTGATCGAAAAATTGGCTAATCACCGCGATAATTTAAGATAATGACGATGATGTTGACGATGGCATGATCGTGCCTGCGCGATGTAGGATTAATTTCCTCAACCAGTCGAATACGTTATTTGTTGGCTGAAACGGTTATGCATCGCTGGGTTCTTTCACGCCTAGTCCGAGATAACTCGGCTGCCCATACGTCACTAATTAATCATGATTGGTGTTCAAGCCGGTTTTTGGACGTCGACTGTGATTGCAGATTAGTCTAGTAGGTAATTCTCTCCAGCGGAGGAGAAGAACAAGACCGTCCTCTTGCTGGCGAAATTTGCAATCGGTCATTTTCGATGTGGATTTTTTGATGCGGTCTTGTCGGCACAAACGCGCTGTCATCGGCGAGGAGATCACATTCGTAGCGAAATCCATTTTGGTCGATTAGGACCCCTTCTGAGGTTGTGCTTGGTGTTGGAGATGTTCGCCTTAGCATCATTACTGTCTCGTGTCACATTACCCTCGTGAGAACGGTGGAATATGTGTTGGATGGATTTGGAATGGGTAGTGTAGCATTAGGGCGGTTAAGTGGTAGAGGTGGGACGAGACGGGTTGGGTTAGCTCCAGATGATCTGCGTGCAATAGAGGAAAAATCACTACACGAGAGAATGTTGACCGAAGGGGGTTGGAGTGGAAGATGACCTTCTGGAATAAGAAGATATCGACAGCGGCAGGATTCGAACCTGCGCGGGCAGAGCCCAGTGGATTTCTAGTCCACCTCCTTAACCACTCGGACACGCTGTCTGATGTGATTTGCAAGATTCCAGCTCCTTCTATACACTTTCTTCGAAATCTCAGTCGTGTCAGCCACATACGACCAATGTTTTGTGATCGGCAAGCGTACAAGTGGCTTCCACATATTGAAGCGAGTGAGTGTTTGGAAAATATCCTCGCGGGGAAGGACATCGACACCGACGGCAATCATACTTGCGCGAGTAAAGTCCAGTCTATTACTATTCCACCATAACGCCACTCTGGTCATAGCCTTTAATGCCATTTACTGCCCAACTCGACACCCTATATAAATGAAATCGTCAAGCACATCATCATGTGCATGTGCGTCGACAGTCACCCTACCACCCTTAGACGACAGGGTCATCCGAAATTGTCCACAAACTGGAATAAGGCGGCTAGCAAACACTCCACTGGTACTGTCTTCGACATGGTGCTGCTTCCTTACCCTGAATGTCCAATCTTTTTATGACAGAGCCAACCTCGTTGGACTATCTCCCTATCATCCGTCTATTCAAGAGGAACATTCGCATTAACTCCACCTGGTCTCCGAATCGAGCTCCGAGGTGGTTCACATGAACAACAGCTACAGAGAAATCCCACAGTCCTCAACTATACAACCAAAACCACCACCAATCACACAAGATTCCACAAAGCATCAATCGTGTCACCATCGCGTAACCGCGCCACCGCCAGGCCCAACTCGGGACTATACACAGGTTCCCTGGCAGCTTCCAATCACCCACGTGCGCACAGCGAAGATTTCTCCCTACCTATACCCGTCGAGCTCGCCATCAGGATGATACAGCATACTAGGATCACTCTCTTGCTCGGGCGCCGACCCAACGCGATCAAGGAGCTTCTCAAAACCAACCTCCTCGTCGATTTCCACGTCTTCTTCGAACCGTTGTAGCGGCGCTGGGGTCGCTAGCAGCTGAAATTAGTTATTTTGTGGCGCGTGACAGATTCTCAAGAAATGCTCTCACCTGGCCAGCACCTGAGAATGTGAAATGTTCATCCGAGGCAATGGAAAGATTCACATGAGGCCCACAGAGTGACCATCCTCACCTCCATGATTAGCACTCTGTCCTCCAATTGGCTTTTCAATCGACACTTCAACTCCGAAAATTGGCGACTGCATATCAAATGTCTAGCGGAGCGAAGCAGATTCCCACCGACCTCTGCAAAAAGCTGATGAATCTTCTCAAGTTGTTGATGCATTCTTTTGAGTTGTTCTATGGGGTCCAGACGGAAACCCAAAACATACGCTCCAGCTGAAATCAATTGAACATGGTAAAGTTGCATAAAATTGTGTTACCACAATTTATGCAACAACCAGCGTGAATTTCGTCTCATATCGCTCAGGAGTTTCCTATACAGTGTTGGAGTAGGAATATATGTAATCGCTTTCCTCAGCTGCTGAGCTCAGGAGTTTCCTATACAGTGTTGGAGTAGGAATATATGTAATCGCTTTCCTCAGCTGCTGAGCTCAGGAGTTTCCTATACAGTGTTGGAGTAGGAATATATGTAATCGCTTTCCTCAGCTGCTGAGCTCAGGAGTTTCCTATACAGTGTTGGAGTAGGAATATATGTAATCGCTTTCCTCAGCTGCTGAGCTCAGGAGTTTCCTATACAGTGTTGGAGTAGGAATATATGTAATCGCTTTCCTCAGCTGCTGAGCTCAGGAGTTTCCTATACAGTGTTGGAGTAGGAATATATGTAATCGCTTTCCTCAGCTGCTGAGCTTAGGAGTTTCCTATACAGTGTTGGAGTAGGAATATATGTAATCGCTTTCCTCAGCTGCTGAGCTCAGGAGTTTCCTATACTGGGTAGGAATGTACAGAAACCAATGAGAGTTTCCTTAAAATTTTCATATCGTCGGCCACACATGTAGTTCGCCATGTGCGTATTTTTCCACACTGATTCGGATTCACAGCAGATTCACTCAATGATTAAAGTAAATGCAGTAGGTGTTGCATGCTGTAATAATTAAAAAATAGTAAAAAGTAATAAATGCAAAATTGCAAAATTTTGTAATAATTCAACGAAAAAAACTTTTTTGAGATAGATGGGGTACACGAGTATACCATAAATTTGCCAAATATCGTTCCTTCGCCCACGCACACCCTCAAGAATCGCCGTGAAGGCACTATACGACTACACAGGGTGCCGAGTTGAAGAGGAGCTATCATATACCATTAGAAAACCCTCTTAGAGATCCACATCTCATTCATCGAAGGTGACCGACCGTCACTGACGGTGCAGAGGCGTCGGTGACACCCTGTAGATATGTATGATATAGGCAAACATGAATACATATAGTTCGCTTACCTCCTCGAAAGGTATTCACAACCAATGCCTTGCCGAATTTAGAGTTTTTCAACGACACCGAGCGCTGAAGGACCACAATCATGGTAATCTCATCAATGAGCATTACGATCTGTATATAGGGCATCGATACGTTGAATGACTCGGCCAAAGCGGCGTACCACACCGCGCGCACCTTCATCCGAATTCGATGATCACACACCATGGACTTACATTAGTGATGACCATAGTGCCGAGGTTGCCTTGATCAGTGGAGAGGTTCCACACTCCGGCAATTTTCTCGTACATTTTTTCGCCCGGCAGCAGAACGAGCTCTTGGTCGCGCACGATGGAGGCTCTTGAGTTGAACTCAGTGTGAGGGGAAAATATGAAAATTGTGAGGAAATTTTTAGATATTATTATTGTTGCTTTCTCTATGTTCCTTCATACGAATTTCTTTGATTAGTGAGGAAACTCCTCTAAGCTCAGCTGAGGAAAGCGAACACATATTTCTACTCCAACATCGGTCACTCGTTTGCGAGTCATCACCTTAGAGTGAGCTCTCGATAGAGGCGTGACGTGTCGTACGCTTTATACACAGATTGAATCGTGGTGAAAATACGAGGTGAATAATACACCAACGAAGTGAAGATAAACTCAAACCTCTGCCCGGCGTACCTGACTTGGGAGAAATAGTCTGCCCAGTGTTGGAATATATTTTCATAACACACGATTAAGAGTAGAAGTGAATAGAAACCACCAAGAATTTCCCAGAATTTTCATATTTCGATAACAATAATTATAGTGAAATATATAAAAATATAAATAAAAATTAGGAGTTCGAGAAAAATATAACAAATAAATAGCCGACGCATTCATCAAGGGGGGGGTTCTGGGGGCCCACTTCTTCACCGTCGATACAGCGGAAGATCGCGGCAAATCGCACTAGTAGTGACATTCACGGGTGGTGAATCCCAGGCTATACCATAATAATGGCACTACGCCTGGTTCGAAGG